AGGAAGGAAGGAAGGAAGGAAGGAAGGAAGGAAGGAAGGAAGGAAGGAAAGAAAGTGGCTTTTTAAGAGGTGAGAAGAAGAGAACCTGCTGCCGTGGCCAAGGTGTGTGTCAGGGCCGTGAACCGGCAGTGCCTCCCACATAAAGTGAAGTCTGGGACGGGGAGATTGGTCATCTTGTGATGGAAATGAGAGGTCAGCATTTTAAGTAGTGAAGCACCTAGGTGGATGTGGAGGGGACCCATTGTAAGTCTTCTTTTTGTCCTTGCTTTGCTTGAGTGGGAGATTTATCTGTTTTTATCTTGGGGGTTCTTTTTGGCGCTTTTAAAATACTGTTCCTTGTAATAGAAGGTTTATTTGATTTCAGTATCTGTGTTTATGAATAATATGTATCACACATATGTTGCTGTTGATCAGTAGAAATATAAACGCTTTGGTATTTTGTACAACAAATTAAAAAATCCTTGCCGCTCTTCTCTTGGTCCAGAGCAAGCTAACCTGTCACATGAGCAGGGGTTGTCTTGCAAATGTGAATGAACCCTGTGGTAGAATTGTTGGGATCAAGAGATAAAAGAAAAGGTTTTGTCTGAGTGGCATCAGCAACATGGTAGAATCAGAATTTCCAGCCCTTTGCCCACAGAAGCACAGAACTGACAATAACATAAGTAATAAAATACCTTTATGAAAGGTCCAGAATCTAATTAATAAGTTGCAATACTATATGTGAGCATAAAACTGAGATCAGCTGCTCTTGAAATGGATAAGAAAAGTAATTAGACTTTACTGGCATCAGCCTCTCCCTCAAGTTGACACAATTTAGCCCTAAGAGAGATTGTGACTCCTCTCTGTGTTACGGGTAGGGGAGATTGGGATGAAAATCCCATGCACCCAAAAAACTATTAAAGCTAATAAATGTATTCAACTGCAGGATGTAAAGTCAACACACAAAAATCAGTTGTGTTTCTACACACTAACAAGAAACTATTGGAAAATAATTAAGAAAATTCTATTTAAAATAGTTGGGACGCCTGGGTGACTCAGTTGGTTGACTGGCCAGACTCCTGATTTCGGCTCAGGTTATGATCCCAGGGTTGTGGGATCGAGCC